CGCGGGGCAGGCGGCCCCCCCGGCCCGCCAGCGCTTCGCAGGCCCGCAGCCGCGCACCTTCACTTCTTCTGGAGAAACTTCATCTTACTCCCTGCGGAGAAAAACCAGCGTTAGGAGGCAAAGCCACGCCAGCAGCCACCCGGCTGAGGAGCTCGTTAAGGGGGAGATTCACGCCTGGCCCCCTCTGACTTGGCCTCTGCCCCCTTAGCGTGGTCCCAGCCAAGACCAAAGTTAAGAGACAAGTTTAGACAGCTCTAGGATTGGGCAACTTCCCCAAACTTTATCTAACAACGCAAAAGCTTAAAAATAAAAGAAAAATCTTACAAAGCGTTTGGTGTCCCCTGAAGGGGCAAACGTAAACAAAAGGAGCACAAGTGCACAGGCAAAGAATGGGCCCTGCTCTCTTTTGCATGCAATTATTTGCTCAATACCTAAATTTATTTAGAAAAAAAAAAAATCAACAAAAAGCAAGGGTGTCCCTTTACCAAGACTGCGAAGGATTTTGTTCATTCCACTTGGTTCTGTCTCTGAAATACTCTCCAAATACTCCAAGGCACGGACCTCAAAAAGGCCTAAAGAGAAAAAAAAATTAAGAAATCACTCAGCTAGATAAGCTATTCCATCTTTTAGCATGTGGCATCTCGTATCACTAACACGGAGGTTACGAAAAGGAAATCATGCATGTAATGTAAGCTGAAGGGATCAAAGCCCCAAAAGGAGAGAGATGCAAAAATTCTTTGCTTCAAACAATAAATTTTGTTGAGTATTAGAAGGGCACGGAGCTATTACAGATGCCAAAATGCCCACGGGATAACGTGCCAGGACAAAAGGCTTCTTAAGAGTCATAGTCACATAACATTATACCTAGAAAGTGAGTTTGTAAAACAAGAAAGTAAGATCAAACCTCACCTTTGACCACGTTCTTACTTAGCTCTCGATCCTGTATGAACCCTGCAAACATCTGCGTTTCCATGAAGAAGTGCAAGAAGTGACGCACATTGCGTGACACATGGGATTTACGGAACAGCTCCCGCTGAAACACTCGCTCCCCTTTTTCCGTGACATTCATGTGCAGGGAGTAGTGCCCGACGATCTCCACAAAGAACTGCACGAACGCTTCAGAGACCAGGGAGTTAAGAGGCATGTCACCTGTGAAGAGGACACCAGAGGAGACATTTCCCTCTACATTCATCACTTTGGTCGTTCCTTTTCTAAAAGAGGAGCAGCAGTTACTTTTTAGGCTGGCTGTCTCAGACGATGACATTTCAAATGGGTGTTCGATATCAAAGAAGCCACAGCTCAACCATTAAGACTTCTCTCCCATGTCAACTTTTTGCTGCAGCTGAGACAGGTTCCATTCTAAAGCTTTTCCAGTAGTTAAAGCATTCATCATTTCTTTTCCCCTGTCAAACATCTAGTGTCTAATAAGCTGTAAGCTCCTAACAGTCTAAGTTTAATTCTCTTAAAGAATTAGGGAAATTACAGAACACAAACCCACTGGAAAACCAACTTTGTTACTTCTGATGTGCATGGAATTACGTAATTTGCCAACGCCATTCTTTCAAGCTACTCAATGCCTTTTAAAATTCTCACACTTATTTATCTGACAGATTACGTATAAAGCAGTTCAACTTTGAAAACGACCTGTCGGATTACCCTCTAAAGTACAGAAACCTGCTACGTTCTCTATTTAAGAAAAACATTCTCTCTGCCACTTAATTAAAAATCGAAGAAAACTCAGAGCACAGGAACGGATGCACTTGGCCCACGGAAAACCAGAGCTCTACACATACTGATCGTGAAAAGAGGAACGATTGTTAGGACACCAAACTTGGTTCTAACACACTCACAAGAAAGATGTTCTCAGTAAGATCACAGGAAAATAGCTTTCTAAAACGTCGCTTCCTAATGTTTATTTCTACTCACTCATTTTTGTATCAACTACATGGAATCTGTAGAGATTTGCTAATGTGAAAACACTTTTCCATTGAAATACCTTGTGCGTCATTCTGCTCGTGTGACAAGATTTCACCTCGTTCTTCCAAGATTTGTACAAGTGCAGCCTGGAGTTTATGAGGCAGGATCTCATCTTCGTCTGACGCCTAAAGAGAAAAACGGCCATGAAAGCATTTGCGTTGTATCTATCTATCAGCAGCAGAACTTTCTCATTGTGAACAGATGAGAAATACTTGTAACACACCTGAAGCAGTTAGAAGGAAGTTACTCTGTGATATGGTGTATCTTGGTGGAGACAATACATTTGTCTTGTAGCAACAGAAATCATAGAATCATAAAATCGTTAAGGTTGGAAAAGACCCTTAAGATCATCGAGTCCAACCGTTAACCCAGCACTGCCAAGAAGGGATGGGGACTCAGCCCCTGCCCTGGGCAGCCTGGGCCAGGGCCCGACAGCCCTTTCAGGGAAGAAGTTTTCCCTAATACCCAACCCAAACCTGCCCTGGCGCAGCTTGAGGCCGTTCCCTCTCGTCCCATCGCTTGTTACTGGGGAGAAGAGACCGACCCCCCCGGCTCCAGCCTCCTTTCAGGCAGTTGCAGAGAGCGATGAGGGCTCCCCTCAGCCTCCTCTTCTCCAGGCTGAGCACCCCCAGCTCCCCCAGCCGCTCCTCATAAGACTTGTTCTCTAGACCCTTCACCAACTTCATAAAGCATTTGCTCAGCACCCTCCAACTACGCACTATTAGAGTCACACACACAACTGGCTGGCACAGAACAGTGCGCGCTATATCCAAGACACTGACTCAGGCTTATTATAGCAGTGATAAAACACACAAGAACAACAAAAGTCTGCTGAGAAAATAGGACAAGTCTCAACATTATGGTTAAAAAAAACCCGATCCGTTAATACCTTTCTCCAGTTGCAGGCTGCAATGCAAAATAGAACAGTAAGGCAAGGAAAAGGAGATGCAAATATCCTCCTGAACTAGTAATGCTCCGGTATGTTTATAGCTACTTGTCTGGTGATGTAGAAGCACATTAGGGAAAGTTCAGCAGAGAACCACAAGTGAGCTGTGCTAATTTCTCTCCTAGACTATCACTCCTGGAATAAAAAAAAAAAACCCAAAACCAACAAACACACCCCAGCTAGATGAGAGAGGAGAAAGCCCTGCAGAGAACAAGTACACAAGACAGACAGCCAGAAAGCCGCAAAGAATCTTAGTGGTCCACTTCACATAATGAACCAAGTATCTGTTTTTAAATTCAGCTCAGATAAGCAGCATCTTTGGCTTTGCAGAACCTCATGCAACCTCAGTCTTGCAACAAGGATTTGTAAGCCTGCTCCCTTCTCTATTGATCAAAAAGGAATGCAAGGTATTTCTTCAGCCACTGGAGTCTACATATGAATACCAGCTTTTGCTGATTTCTTGTTTTCGTTTTCTTTCACTGAGGCCTTTTCCTGGCATATACCCATGAGTGACCGATACTGTTACTTCACTCACCTCTTGCAAGAACTTGTCAGCACAAAGATCAACAATCAGAACCTGGGGAAAGATGTACAAAACACACTGACTCTCATAACCAGGTATGTTGCTGTACAGAAAAAAACAGTTGTGTTTTGTGGTTTTTTTAAATGTCCCCAGTGGCAGGGGATGTCACACATGAAACACAAGTTTTGCATAACTGCAGCCTGTCTACAAGACCAGTGAATATTATTTATCTTTGATAACAATTGAACACCTTGACATGTATCTGGCAAGTTCACCAACTGTCTCAGAAAAGTTTAAGACAGAATCCACAGAGATTATTGCAGAGAGGTCAGCCTCATACCACTGACATCATCCCTCCACTGTGCTTCACCCAATTCTCACCTCTTCTATGGGCAGGTCCTGGAGCTGTGGTAACGAGCAGGAGAGAATGCCAATTAAGAATGGGGTCGGAGAGCACACAATATCAATCATAGAAGTTGGCAGGACTGGTATGTAGGTGTGTTGCCAAGTGAAGGGATAAAGCGTTGCAACTGCGGCATGGCCACATTTAGACAGAGTGCTAGAAAGGTAAGAGGAGCACAGAATGGATTGTCAATGTCTCGTTCGGTACTCAGCTACAGACACAGGTTAGAAATGCTGAGGGAA